TTTTTTTTTTCGGCTGTACTATCATGATAGTTCTGAACACAACAGAAACCTATCCCTGTTTGCTCGTAATAATTGTAAACATGTCCTCAAAAAGGTTAAATCTTTGTTTGCTGATAGAATGAAACACCATATAACGGTTATGGATTTTCATTCTATCAGCATAACCACTAACAAGGTTGGTTCTCGTGACTTTCTGGAGGCCATGTAATAGCGTGTTAGAGTAAGTCTCCTCTCTCTCTCTCTCTTCTCTATATGAGGTGTTAATATCTTACGTTGATAAAGCAGAATGTTTTGCTCATAAATTATCTTCCAATTCTACTTTTGACCCATATGTAGTATCTTTGTCTGGCTTTCTACTTAGAACGGAGTCTCTATTGAGTAATATCCATACAATTCTGTCCATGGTTTCTGCTATCATCTCTAAATTGGTTCCCCACAAAACATGTGAAATTGATAGTATTCCCCGCAATAGTCCCTAAGAAATGTTCCTGAACTAGCTCCCGTTCTCTCAACTGTATAATAAATGCTTCGCTTCTCTTGTTTTCTTGCTTGTTGGAAATCTTCTATTGTTCCAGTCTTTAAGAACTTAGGCGAACCATCTAATCCTTTTAATTATTAGCCGCCTACTAATCAACTCTGAATTGGTCAAGACTCTCACCTCGCAGGGTCTTCTTTTAGATAACCAATATGGCTGTCGCTTCTCTAGGTCAGGTGCAGTTATTTTGCTGAAAGAATCTATTAAGCTTTAGATAAGAATGATGAAGCTCAGGCTATTTCTTTGGATATCTCGAAGGCTTTTGACATGTTTTGGCATGCTGATCATCTTCACTAATTGAAAGTTTATGATAATTCTGGGCGAAATTTTGAATTGATTCAATCTTTTTTTTATCAAATCACGAAATGAAAGTTGTGTTAAACGGTCACTCTTCTAGATCTTTATGTATTAATGAATGTATCTCCCAGGGTTCTATCCTTGGACCTAAGTTGTTCCTAATTTTCACCAACGACCTTCCTGATGTTATCAGTTCTAAACTCCTTATCTATGCTGATAATACAACGATTTACTCCTGTTTTAATAGTAAGTCTGATATGCTCTCTAAAAATCAAATTTGGAGCTGATCTAAAAAATTACCCACAAATGCGTTGTTAACTGGGACAAGGAATGGTTTGTTAATTTGAATGCCTTCAAAATGAAACTGCTCTTTTTTAATCGTCTGAGAGAACCCTTTTTGCTTTCCAGAAGTATGGCCGTCGCTAAACTCTAGGAGAGTTACTCATTGCGCCTTCTCGGCTTAACGTTTTTTCGCTGACATAAAGTGTAAAGAATAAAGATTGTTATTGAATCAATTGCTAGGTCTGCTACTAAGAAAGTTGGTTCACTCTGTCGTACTAGAAAATTTTTCTCATCAGAATCTATCTTACATAAGTCTATAGTACCTAAACATTATGAATTTTGCAGTAGTTAGTAGATTGGCTGCAAGCCAAGGTTTCATTTTACTCTTGAAATGGCTAGATCCTTAGAAGAGCTGCATTTATTAAATTAAACCAACTCGACATACCTGTCAGTTCAAAAGTAAGTTACATGTTAAACTACTTCAAATAATGAGCTAAAATAAATGAAAAAATAAATAAACAAAATGCTACTCGTAATTTGAACAAAATTTTTCCGATAAACTCTTAGTCTTATACTGTGTATGTGGATTCTTTTTGGCTGATTTTAGGCTGCAATCAGCTCTCCGCAACTCAATTCTACTGTAGTCAGTAAACCATACTTGTAAAATCTGCTATATACAACACTAACAGTATATATAAACATTAACTAAATCCTATCATACCATGTTCAATGTTTGCTGTAAAAACTGAAGACCGTCTTCTTGGCTACAATCATTTATGGCAATGCGACTGAGCCGAGCAGAATCATGTCATCATTACATTACTGCAATTAATTTTCAAAAATAAATAATAATAATAATAATAATACAGTACATTTCCCTTCATAAACATTAGTTTCTAAAATTTCCATATATGAACAGCCAAAAAGAAAAACGAAACAAAACAAAGACTAAAAAAAAAAGTTGAGGACAATAGTCCAAGCGAAAATAAAATGTAAATAATGAACCGAACTCCTCATCCCAGAAATTCAGACAGATCTTAAAAAAATATTCATTTTACAATCAGGATTCAGGAATCAAAAGTAAAACTTAACGTCTGATTTATTTTTTATTTTTGTGGTGTCATGTCTAAATTAAAATAAATCATTTCGATTCTAAGCACAGATACTTTGTCCCTAAGCAAATGTAAAGCGCTAATTAATTCATAAAAATACTCGTTTTGTTTTAATTATTTTTTTTTGTTGTTGTTTGTTTCGTTTTGTTTTGTTTTTTTTCGGGGGGGGGTGCTTTGTTTAAATACTATGCTAGTTTGCAAAATAGCAACAACTCTATGTAGAAACTTATGAAGCTTTATTTGACTAAACAGAAACTCAGCGTTAGCGCTGAAAACGTTTTGTAACCACAAAAATTTAATCGACTCCATCTTTTCTTTACACATGCATACTTTGTAGTTTATTAGCTTAACTATGCCATGGTTAAGAACAACTGGCTAGACAGTGGTAACTTTCTTCAACAATCTGATAATGTGTGGTTTTCGATAAGTAGTTATTTAATTAAAGTTATGCAAAAAAAAAAATAAAAAAAAAAAAAGGATGACGATTGACGGGCCTTTAAAACAGTTTTTACTTTATTTTCAAACCGAGAGAATCCTTTTTTTTAGTTTTAGCAAACGCTAACTTTTCTATTAAAATCTCCGGGTTAAATGTGAAATTGAATAAAAAAAAAAAAAAAAAAAAAAAATGTAAAACGCTTCCATTCTGTCCTCCAAAAAAATGTTCTTAAAAAGAGCACACCATGATAATAAAAGGCCCCAAATTTGATAAAAAAAAAAAAAAAAAAAAGTTTTATTGACAAAATGTTTAAGTATCTTAAGGACACTTGTCTTCTTGAGAAAAAAACATTTTCGATGAATAATGAATTTTTCTTACATTTTTTTTTTAAATTTTATTTTAATTAGAGAAATTTATTATGTTTTAAATCTTAATTTCAGCCATTTTATTAAGTGAAAAAAAAAACTATATTTTTACTAATCATAACTGGAAAAGACTTAAATACAAATCATCAACAAACACCAATAAAAGAATTCTCCTTTTTTTTCCATTTTTTTTGGCCGATTTTTGTAAGTGCAGGCGACGATACACATTATCAGAAAATAAGACAGATGACTATTTCTCAAATTGAATAAAACCTTAAGGCTTACGGGGGAATAGTTTATTAATTTTTATTAATTGTATTTTCCTAAATTATATTTAAAAAAAAAAAAAAAAAAAAGCCGCTCGCGTCATTTTATTCAATTATGTTTTTTTACAGATAAAGTATCCGCAGGACAACAAATTGCTGTCAAACACGTGAAAACAGCTACTGCCGAGTTAAAAAAAAATGCATTTCTTCTATAAACTTAAAGTAAAAAAACATTAACAACATTTGTTTCAAATCTGATTAACTTGAGATTAAAACTAAAATAAAACAAAAGCTTCAAGAAACATTTTTCGTTTTTTTTAATTCATTTCAAAACCTTAGGTATCGCGTTTTCTGTGGAAATGTATATTGCATTGATTGATATTTTTAAATTAATGATAATCCAATTCTAATTAGATTTTTCTCAGTAAAATTAATTTTAGCATTTGCTGAATCGTCAATTTTAAATAAAGTCAATTCTAAAATCACTCTTAGGTTGGTTTTCATTTCGAAATCGCGCGATGTGTGTTTAACTTCTGATTTAATCATTTTTTTTCTGAACATCTTGCTGAAAGCAGGTTTTTGACAAATCCAATGTAGCAGACTAACTTCTACTACTAACGCTTCTCATCCAGGAACGTTGTGAAAAAATTCTGCACACAAACTAAAAAACACTGGCTACACCTGGACCTTGAATGAACTTTTCACACTTTCTTAAAAGAACTTAACATTGGACTTTAATCACTACTCTGTTGTTTCTAAAGTACATTTATTCTTTTGAAAACTTTTGTCATCTTTTGAGTCAAAGAAATAGAAATACAAGCGAATTAATTTTTTCCGCGCCAAATATTTTTTTTATTTTTAAAACATTATTAAATTTTTAAAACAGTCATAAATTTTTTTCTCCCAGCTATAAAAAGTGCCTGTGATGAGTAGTCCAACAATTAATAATTCTCTTTCGATACGACCCAAGTAGAAGTTAAAATTACGTAACAAAACAATTATTTTTTTTTTGTTTTTTGGGGTTTTTTTTATAAACACGATCGAAATCTTAAATTAAAAAAAAAAAAAGTATGTACTGAAGATTTTTATCACAGATTACACGAAATTGATTAATGATAGGAGGACCATTCCGAGTGAAAATGTCTAAAAGTCATTGTTATGGAAGTTCATAATCACTAAAAAAAAATCAAGGAAATATTGGAATGAAAATAAACTCTCTACATTGGTTAAAAAATTAAATACGAAAAAAGGTTGGAGTAATAAACAGTTAATTTGCATAGTCTTTCTGCAATACTTGAACTGCAAAAAGGCTTCGGAATTAGGTTTTTTGTTTTGTTTCCATAAAACCTGGTGATAAGTACCCATTTATGCAGGTTGCATCACGTAAATCATAAACAGATTGTTTTAGCGACAGTAGTAGCTAATTTCTATATCGCTAAAATAGGGGATAAAATTTAAAGTTCAAAGACTATATTTTACAAAAATAACAGTACAAGCAAATAAAATTTAGAAGACATTGAACTTAAAAGCAATAGATAACAAAATTTTTCAACTTCAGTTCAAGTTGTCATTTACATATTTTTTATAATTAAGAAGTTTTTCCGTAGCCGTCTTTTTACAAAAGCGAACTGCGGTACCAAAATAGCGACAAAACACAAAGATATAACCTAAAACGGTATATTAATGAAATAACATAAATTCACCAACCTCATAAATCACTTTGTCATTGTCGATCTTCCCTGCTGCGATGTCACAAAATACACATTTTCCCGAATTGTTTACATCGTCAGTATTGTTGTCCATTTTATCAGCCATATTACTGCCCGTATGCAAGGGAAGTAACTCTGATTTGATTAAAATGCACAGTTTTATCTTATAAATTGATGCTGAATATTTTTTCTCACAATGTTTTTTTTTTTTTTATTTTACTTATTTTTAATATTATAGGCACTTTGTTGTGATATAATGGTTTGCAAGATGGTTTCGCATATTACTATTACTACTGAGTGGTAAATTTAATCTTCAATTGATGCTCTGTAGTTACGGCCTTGTAGTAAAAAAAATAGCTACACTAGTAATAAATAACCACATTTAATTACAACTCTGACATTTTTCTCTTATAAACTTGTTTGTGTGTGTGTGTGTGAGAGAGGGAGAAGCACTTGGTGTTTTCATTTATCAGCCTTTCTTTTCTTTGTTTCTACAGCTTTGTTGATCACATGCTGAACCAAATTTACATTTCTGAAAAATTTGAAAGGCATCAATATTGTTAAGAATCACAAGTTTTATTATCAAGAGTTTATAAATAAACTTTTTATTATAGAAAAATTTAGCATATTGTTTAGATTTTGAAATAAATCCAGTCGGAGAGCACAACAGCTGAAATGACAACTAAGATGAGGACATTTAGTCCACCTATAATAAATAATGATAACCTCATTCCAGAAATTCCGAGACAAATTTTATATTTTGTTGAAATATTAATTTTTTTTGTTGTTTTAATAACTTGGCCATCATTTTTTCTTGGAAATGAAGATGTTCTGATTGTTTCTCATATAGGAAATAAACCCTATTTCCAACACAATCACATACCTACATACATTCCATATTAAAATCCACCCAAACTTTATTTTCTATCCAATAACAAACAATATTTACAAACATGCCAAAAAGATTCCACAATATGACACACACTGTTTAAAGTGTCTATTGATTAGAAATTAACATCACTATGTGAAATATTTGAACAATCAGAGAAAAATGTAAAACCATAATTTTCTCAAGCCTACTTTCAGGAAAAATGTTTTATAAAAACCCATAGACTTTGACTTTATGGGGCAGAGATGCAACTTACTCCAAGCCATTCAAACCCCAGAGAAAATCATGGCTACATAGCTTTATGCCTTCACCCAGCATGTACTGAAAGAAACATGTGTCAGCAACTTCAAATGAATCATCTCTAACTACAACAACAAGAACAGTCAGTGAATCATCACTGATGATCAAAGTCTTTTCTCAACTACAGATTTTTTACTGTGGACCAACCACTAAAAGTCTTTTCTAAACTAAAGCTTTTTCTGTGGACCCATTACCCAAAGGTTTTAACTCCACTAAAGACTATTTTTGACTCTTTTGAATTCACGTTTGTAAATACAAATGGTTTATTTGACATGTTTTCTTTATTTTTATTTTATTATTATTTGGAATTTGGACATTCATTTTTTTTAATATAAAAAACCTGGATGACAGAATTTTCTACACAACCCAATAATCATTTATTTATTACTACAGCCACTCCTCTAAGCAAATACTTCCTTATTTCTTTTATTATAGACAACACAGAAGGAAATGTGATTAAACTAACATTAACTAAATTATATAAACTTTCGCTATATCATAAACATATATGCTCAAAATAATAACCCTGTTGACTATGAAAAGATCCATCCACAAAAATCATCTCATACACTCATAGACATCCTTTTTCTTTAATCATTTTACTCCAAGCAAGACAATAAAGTCATTAAAGAGAGGCAACAATAAAAGAACAGGAATTAAAAAGACAGAAGATAACAATTGACATTGCATTTAAATTTTTGAAAAAAAAGCAAGCCAGAAGTGAGTTCTACAAACAACATAAGAAACTGTTAGCATAGAACTTACAGTTATATCTAGTCATTTCAACTGTAAAATGAGACCTACCTGCCAATCTAGTACTGCACTTTCAAGATACCAAAGAGAAAAGTTCATTAGAACAATTACCATGAAAATATTTATAGAAACGGCACAAGGAAGCTACATTACGGTGATGGGAAAGTGACTGGAACCAAGATGATAGGTCAGGACTGATAACATTGCAGATTCTTATTTGGATTTTATCAAGAATCTTTAACTATTAGGTTGGTGCAAAAATAATGTCATTTTCTCACATGTTACTTTTATATATGATTTCTGAATTAATTCATTGATATATATATAGCCATGTTATATATCATTTTGACGCGCGTTTTTCGCTCTATCGAATCGTGTTATTCGTTACCGTTCTCAATCTCTTCATTCATTTTTTTTGCAGGCTTTTCGAAAGCATGGGCAAAATTCAAATCCGCACGATTTTCTTGTTCCAGTTCAAACTAGGCCGAAAAGCTGCCGAGACAGTTCGTGATATCAATGATGCGTTTGGCCCAGGAACCACTAACGAACGTGTGGCACAACGGTGGTTCAAGAAATTTCGCAATGGTGACGAGAGCCTCGAAGATGAAGACGGTCGCGGCCGGCCGACTGCGGTTGATAACGAACAATTGAAAGCCTTAATTGAAGCCGATCCTCGCAAAACCACACGAGAAGTTGCTGTTGAACTCGTGGTCGACCACTCAACAGTCGTTCGCCATTTAAAGCAAATAGGGAGTCAAAATAGTTGGATAAATGGGTGCCGCATGAATTGAACGATAATCAAAAAAATCGTCGTTTTGAGGTGTCTTCTACGCTCCTTCTGCGCAACAAAAACGACCCATATCTCGAGCGGATTGTGACGTGTGATGAGAAGTGGATCCTCTACGACAACCGGCGACGTTCGGCACAGTGGTTGGATGCAGGAGAAGCTCCACAACACTTCCCGAAGCCGAAATTGCACAACAAAAAAAAAATGGTTATGGTGACTGTTTGGTGGTGTTCGGCCGGTCTTATCCATCACAGCTTCTTGAATCTGGGCGAAACGATTACGGTGGAGAAGTACTGCCGACAAATTGACGAAATGCACCAGAAGCTGCAACGTATGTGCCCGAGATTGGTCAATATGAAGGGACCAATTCTCCTCCATGACAACGCTCGCCCGCATGTTGCTCAACTGACCCTACAGAAGCTGAACGAATTGGGCTACGAGACTCTGCCTCATCCGCCATATTCACCGGACCTCTCGCCCACCGATTATCACTTTTTCAAGCATCTCGACAACTTCCTGCGCGAAAAATGCTTCAAAAGCCGAGATGATGCCGAATCAGCCTTCAATTACTTCATCGCTTCCAGAACTCCGGATTTCTATGCTAATGGGATAAATAAACTTGTTTCTCGTTGGCAAAAATGTGTCGATTCTAATGGTTCTTATTTCGATTAATAAAGTTTATTATGAAAGGAGTTATGATCTTTTGAAGTTGAACGTCAAAAAACGACATTATTTTTGCACCAACCTAATATATAATAGAAGTACCAGACCAGATGTGGCGGAAATATTCAATGCATGGACAAATGGTAGACTTATAAATGTGTAAGATAGATTCAGGTAAGAAAAATTGATAGAGTGAACCAACTTTCCTAACAGCAGACCTAGCAATATGATCTTTCCACTTCATGTTAGCCCAAGAAATCTTTCTTGTAAAATTTGAATAAATTACAGTTTATGATTTTATAACAATTTTTTCAAAGTTTATTTACAATATGAACTTGTGACTGTGACTGACCACTAACATTGCTATAAAATAGTAACTATTAGAAGTAAATATGACCTTTCTGACAAAATGTTTTGCTTCCACAGACTTTAAATGGAAAAAAAGAAAGCAAAAGTCACATATACTCAGATTCACATTTTTATCATTCAACTAACAAACTACATTTAAGAATAAGAAAAGTTTTATAATTATTTAAAATGGATGCTGAATCTATATCATTTGATACTCAAATGGAAAATGTTACACTGAAAGCAAAAGTTACAGAGGCAACAGTTTTTATACTAGAAGAACAATTTCATCGCATATATACTGGCACTCCCATAGCACAATTTTTCCCTGTTAGAACAACTTTAACTGGTGAAGTTGTTGCAAAACATCCATTTTTTAATTCTAGTGTGGAGCAAAGACAGAAATAAACACGAAGACAATCAAACATGACACAAATATTGTTTCTAAGTTGGAGGATTTGTGAATCTTTCCAGCTATTAATGCTTTGAAAAATAAATATTTAACATTAACTCTATAGTGAATGGTAAGTTATAGCTCTCAGCATTATTTGATTTAAAGTTTAATTTTTATTTTTCTGCTTTTTGTTTGAGCTTCAGAAATTGTTGGCTACCATTGTTGGCAGATGAGTTTTTACAAATTGTTTTGCCTGATTGATCAGTGATATCCTTTTTGCTGGTTATTTTACAGTTATTTATCAATAGGTGTTTTATAGTGTTAGTATGATGTTTACCAGCTATTTTCCTTATCATATCCCATACAAATTTTGTTTTTGTGGCAGAATTAAGTCTGTTGATGTAGTTTTTCCAACATTCTTTTTTGCTTTCTTTAATTATTTCTTTAACTTTCTGGAACACATTTCTTTGCAATAGATATAAAGATTTCCATAAACTGTTTTACGTTCTTGATGCATTTACCTTCAGCTAGCTTATCAGGTTTTTAAATTCATCCCAGTTTGCTCCGCCTAATTCACCAACGGGGAGGATTTTTATCATTAGATTCTGAATTTCGCAGAACGACTGACAAGTGATTACAACTGCATATGTCTGCTTGAACCTTCCAAGGGAAATCCATATAGACTGATGGATCCCATATGGATAAATCTATTGCAGAGTGGCTGCCAGTATATGGATTTATGTAAGTCGAAGTTTTATCATTATAAGTACATAAGTCATCGTTGTTTAAAATTGATTCTAAAATCTTTCCCTTTTGGTTTGTGTCTTTACAACCACATATGATGCTGTGACAGTTAAAGGGAGTTGCCTTATAATTTCATGAATTTCAGCTTCAAGGTAATCGCTGACCCCTTGGCTTCCTAAGGTGAATGTAATTTCTTCAATTGAGGCCAGTGACAACTCCTTACTTCTG